GCGGGGCAGGCAGTACACGAAGGCGTAGTTCAGGACGTAGCGCTTCAGCTCCTCGGTGGGGAAGCCGTCGGCGTGCCTCCAGGCGCAGCGCAGGGCCTGGCGCCAGGTGCTCATCTCCGGCGTGCGCAGCTGGCCGATGTAGGGCACCGCTTCCGTGGCGTCCTCCGGGTTGCTGGTCCAGGGGCAGAACAGGAGCAGGATCTTCATGATGTGCTCCTCCTCGCTGTGGCTGCCGAGCGCGCCGTACAGCACCGGCACGTGGGGTCGCTTGCGTGGAATGATCACCCAGTCGTGGCGATGCCTCTGAGCTGAGCTGCCCTTGCCCAGCGGCATCCAGTCCTCGCCGCCTTCCTCCCGGATCAGGTAGTCGACGCCGCCTTGGAGCGCGCTGCGACCTTGTTGTCGTCTCAGCTTTGTCGTGCCGCTGTCCGTCAGCAGGGCGTGGTAATAGATGTCTTTCTGCCCGCGAGCCAGGGCGGCCTCGGCGCGTTCCTGCTTCTCCGCCGACCAGGGGTACCTGGCATGATCGATGTGGTGGTACCTCACGAACTCGAAGGCCGAGAGAGGCCGGACGCGAGGGTCGGTTCCGCGGTTCCCGTAGACGGTCCACAGCTGCGGCCGGGCGACGACCTTTCTCTTGTTCGGAGCGTCGCAGTTCCTGCTGAGGTCGCTCTCGAGCTTTTCTCGATCCTGCCACGGCCGGCCTTCGATGACCGCTCGCAAGAGCTCCATCCCGGTCTTGAGGGACATGTCCGCGACCTGGGCGGTCTTGATGGTTTCCGCCGCCGTGGGGTCGTTGCTGCCGGCGTTGTCGATCAGGTTCGCGCACTCCACGGAGCCGCGGACGACGCCGCGGGCGAAGGCGTCGGTCATGAGGCGCTTCGAGACTCGGGCGCCCACGTAGCCGCTGGAGGGGTTGTTCTGCAGCTCCGCTTGCAGATCGTTTTGGCTCTTCTTCCACTCCTGGACTTCGTTGACGGCGATGGGATTGCGCTTGTTGCTGTAGTCGCAGGCGTAGCCCGCCTGCGCGGCCTGGTTCACCTGGGCCTGCTGGGTCATTTCGCGCAGGCTGGCTTGGGACGGGCAGTCCTTGTCGCAGTGTCCGGACAAGGCGTGGAGGTCCTCCGTGATCGGGAAGCGATAGGGCACCTGCACGTCGCCGTTGCAGCGGAGGGCGGCCAGCAAGGCGGGGTGGTTGCCGTTGAGGTGCGGGTCGTTGCAGGGCCCCCACAGGCGACCGAGAGCGCTGCGCTTGCCCTTCACGGGCATGCCCATCTCCTCTGCCAGGCCTTGGCACACCAGCGTCGTCGTGTCGGTCAATTGCATCGCGCGCGGGAAGCCCGACTTGCACTTGGTGGGGTCCTTCTTGTCGCGGCAGTGATCCAGCGGCAGACGCGGGCCGTCCGGTTTCTTGGGCAGGTGCACGTGGTGCTGCTTCAGCTGCTGCAGGGCTTCCACGTCCTCGTCCAGGAAAAGCCGCCGCCAGGTTGTATCGTCCATGGACGCGTCGGCCTTCTGGTAGTCCGGGCGGCTCAGGGGCAGGAGGGAGTCGCGGTAGGCGGGCCACTTCTCCTCCGTTTCCTGGCGCTTGTTTTCCCATTCTTCTGGATCCCGGTAGATGGTGCGGCTGACGTGGGCGGTGTACGTGCAGTACTTCTGGAAGAGGTCCATCTTGTGCTCCGGGTTCAGCGCGAGCAGCTCCGAGAGGGATTTGAACTGGTGGAAGCACTGGAGGAAGAGCTGCGGGCAGGGCAAGCATGCGGCCGTGGTTTCGGTAACGTGTCTCTTTTTGTGCCTCGATGAATCTAGAGATTGCTGGTTCTCTCGCTGTTCGTGCGTGCGTGTGTGTTTGTTGTGTGTTGCTGGTCTAGTTGTTGTCTGAGGAGAGCGGGCCTGAAAGTGGATGTGCAGCACTCCGGACTTCTGGCACTCGATGGAGCCGTAGGCGGCGTCGAGTCGGCCGAAGATGCCCCCGCACGCCATGGCGTTGCTGCCGAACGCGTCCGTGCAGGGATTGGCGGAATTCCCGCAGTCGGGGCACTTCGGGCAGTAGCGGACGCCGAAGAGGTGCCGGAGCGCCAGCTGCACCAGGATGCGGAAGCCGTCCGCGCAGGCCACGGGGTCTTTGGTCAGCATGGCTCGCCGCTCGTCGTAGGGCGGCAGCTCCGCGGCGAGTGCTTCCGGGTTCAGGCTGTAAAACTCCACGTCCAGCTCGGGCTTGCTGCGGCTCTGTGCGGCACGGTTGGTCTGGGACTCCTGGCTGAGGCTGGGGTCGGATTGCCGGGCGCGGGCCAGGCGCAGCATCACCGTGTTGTCTCGCTCGGACGGGGAGAAGGTCACGAAGAGCGGGGTGCCGTGGCAGACCCGATTGGCGTGGGTTTGGTGGCGCATGGTCGTGCGCACCTCGTGGGTGCCGGGGGTGTTCCGGCTGCGCGCCACCGTGTTGTCCAAGACCTGCGGCTTTTTATGGCTTTTGTTACATCATTATAAGGGTCCCGAGCCTACGTATGCAAGTTTTATTTCCCGGTTGTACTATAGTCTTTACCTGCAGCTTCTGTTGGTGTCGTCGGTTGCAAGCTGGGCTCTGGCAGTGGTTTTCCTGTTTTGCGCGCCTTCACGGCTGCCGGCTGCAGTCCGGTGGCGAAGCGCACCTTGCTCAGGTCTCCGTTGATGGCATTCGTCTGGCCGTTGACGTCGAGGTACTTCCCTTTGACCAGCTCTTTCTGGATTTGCTTGCCGCCGTCCAGGATCTCTTGGCTGGTCAGTGCTCTGCGTCCGTTGTTGTCGTCGGGGACGATGTAGATGAAGGTGTTCTGCTGCAGGTTCACCATGGTCCTGAAGAGGTAGTTCCAGAGGGTGAAGCCGAAGGTCCAGTCCCGCCGGAATTGGGTCTCGGCTCGACGTTGCATGGCCGCCGCCCACGCGTGGATTTCCACTTGGGGGGCTTCGGGGTTCCTGCTCCCCCGCCGTTGCTGCCGGTCGTTGCGGGCTCCCTGCTGGTTATTCTTGACGTCGGGACAGGCGGTGCCGTGCGCGAAGCAGAAGCTGAAGGCCGTGGCGAAGTAGAGCGGCTGGAACTGGTCCACGAGCATGTTGCTCGTGCGCACCTCGTAGGGCTCCAGGATCTTCTCGTTCTTCTGCTTGCTTCGGAGTTGGTCCTCGAGGTCGTTCAGGGCGGCCGTGGCCACGGCGGTCTGATCCTCTCGGTCTTGGTTGCAGCCTTCCGGAAGAACGGCGCGGGCGCGCTGGTTGGCGAAGATGGTGCCGGCTTGCTGCACGTCTTGTTCCGGGGCGTCCGTGGGGGCCGCCGCCTTCTGCGGCTGCAGTTTGTGGCTCGTCTCGTCCTCTTCTCTCATGCCGTGGATGACCTTCAGCACCTCCGGGGGCACGCCGCCCTCCGGCAGCTGTGCCGCGGCCTCGCGCACGGCTTCTTGTCGCAGGTGCTGAAAGGCGGGGTGGCCCAGGCGTTGCATGTCCAGGATGAGGTTGACGACCACTTCCCTCCGCCCCGTCGCTTGGTGGAGCAGGGTTTTGATTTCTGACTCGCTGGTCTTGCCTGTCTTGTTGGTCTTCAGGAGGACCCTCACCACGTCGCCGAGTGCCGCCCCTGCACGTGGCATGTTCGGCGGGGGTGGCTCTTCGTTTGCCGCTGTTGCTCGCTGCGTTTCCGCCGCTCCTTCCTCGTGCGCTTGGAGGTTGCGCAGCACGTCTTCCCATGGCAGCGGGAAGGTGAGGGCGTTGCCCCGGGCTCCGAGGCGGTGGTTGGCGTTCTGGGCTTGCTAGTCTAGGGTGGTTCCCTCGCTGCGGTGCCGTGCTTCCATGGCCATGCAGACCAGCGTGGTGACGCAGGGGCTGGCACAGATCATCTCCATGACGGTGACCTTTTCTTCGTGTAGGCGTGCTGGCGAGTAGCCGGTCCACATGTCGTTGCACAGGCTCAGGGGCGGCAGCCGGCCCTTTCGCAGCTGCTCGTCGCCCTCGCTGCAAAGGGGCACTTCGCAGTGCTCGCACAGGGTGTGCTGCATCGGGTGCTGGGAGTTGGCTTGGCATCGATGGTCCTCCGGGCAGCACAGGATGTCGCCGAACCCGGGGATGGTCACCGTCCAGTCGTCGAAGTTGGCCACGTCTCTGAGCTTTGCGTCGCCGGCCAGGTCGTCGTAGTAGTCGAGGTATTTGTCGATGCTCAGCAGTTCGTGCAGTTCTGCGGTGGTCTCGGCGTGGTTGTCGTCGTTGCTGCCGGGGCTCTGGATGAGTTTGCGCCAGCTGATGCGGCTGCTGGCCGCCATGTCGGCTACGCGCGGGTGAATGCAGGCGCAGCTGAAGCAAATGGGCGATTCCACGTTGTCCTTGCTGGTTGCCTCGGCGAAGCTGCGCAGCGCGCTTCTGTCCCGCGAGCTTCCCGCGACGGGCGCGGCCTCTCTGCATCGCAGTGCGACGGCCTCGTTGTAGACGCTGGTCAAGGCGTCTTTCGGCAGGGACCTGGGCATGTGCTGGGCCACCAACCCCAGCTCCGGTGCGTGAGAGTCCGTGACATGCTCGTGGAGCTTTTCTTCCGTCCCAGAGAGTAACGACCACGTGCATCCCTGGAATGCGCAGAAGACCTGCGGCCAGGCTTCGCCCTGGTCAACATTCTCGGCTTTGGCTTCGGGTGGTATCAGTGGCTGGGCTCGCAGGTGGGTGCTTGCGAAGCGCCTGAGCGCATCTTCCAGCTTTCGTCTGGGGTGGTAGTGGGTGGGCTCCGTTGACTCCGTTGCAACGGGCATGCTGGTCAGCTCTTCGAGGAGGCTGGGTCCTTCCTCTGCTGCTTGGGGGGTGCCGCCTCTGGGTTCTCTGTGGCTCCTTGCGCCTGACCTTGCCGCGTGCGCTGAGCTTGGCCGGCTGCGGTTCTCTGGCGCTTGGGCGGGCGCGGCTCTGGGTGGGGTGGTGGTGGTGGTGCTGGTGGTGTTGGTGGTGTTGGTGGTGGTGTTGGTGGTGGTGGTAGTGGTGGTAGTGGTGGTGGCGTCTGGTCAATGGGCACGAGCACATCGTAGTGGTCCTTCCCGTTGTACCAGAGGTGGATTGCGTGATAATAGACGTTCGGTACTGCGTGGGGGCGCCGTCGGGCCTCTTCGCGCACTTCCACATGTGTGCGCTCGCTCGTGCGGATCTCGCCGTCCGACGCCCGCCAGTGCACGAACGCTTGCTGCTGTCTCATGAGGGTGAAGGCGACGACGGCCGTGTCGCCGCCCCAGTTACTCGGGTTGCTTTCGAGGTGTTCGGCTTCCTCCAACCAGGCTTCCACTTGCTCTTCGTGCTCTTGGGACGCCGCGTTCTCCTTCAGGTACTGGATGATCTGGGAGCGCAGGTGGACCGCGTTCTCGCCGCTTTTCTCCGCGAGCGCGTGGAAGATGCAGTTGCCGTCGCCCGTCATCTTCTTCATGGTCAGCATGCCCTCAAAGTGCTCCTGTCGGGTGTACTGCCTGCTTATCCGTGTAGAGCCGTCGCTAGAGTGGACCTAATCATATAACGGATCCCCGAACGATGAAACTGGCCTCGATGCTGGGGCCGGGCTCCGATTCGTGGTCGGAATCCGGCCCGGCGCCTCCTCGTCGCGCAGTCGATTCTGCACGAAGTCGTCCAGCGGTGCTTCTTGCAAGCGTTGCTGGATGGCTGTTGTCGCTTGCAGTCGCCGTGGCGGTTGTTCTTTCGGCCTGCACAGCGGCACACAGTTCGAAAAGGGGTGCATGCATGCGGTTTCGAACTCTTCGGTGCGGCGCCTCTGCCCGCTGGAAAGCCTGTTCCAGCGCTTCGTCGTCATCGGCCGTCCATCGTGGCAGGCACGGCAGTCGCTTCTTTGGCGCCTGAAGGTCATGCAGCGCACGGCCGACTTTTCTCTTTCCATGTCTCGTCTCGTTATTGGTCCTTGGTTGAATTTTGGCCGTAGCGCCTTTTCTCGCCGGCGTGTTCTTTGCTTCGCGCCAGAAAACATGGACGTGCCCCGTCGAGGTGCTGCTGTTGTCGGGGAGGCTTTCCACGCCTCGTGCGTTCGTGCCCGTGTCTTCTCTCTGCCTCTATGCGGGTCACGGCAAAAGCTTTCAGCGTGCCTCGTCGATCTTGATTGTTCCGGCCTCGGCCGTGTGGATTCGGTGCGCAGCTGCGAGATATTCATGCATGCGTCCACGGGCTGTTTGTGCGGAGGCTCTGGGGAGGGCACGGGCGTCAAAAGTGTGAGGCTGCACTTCCTTGCCAGGTAGTCCTTCTTGAACGCTTCGAACTCCCAGCCGGTCGCCTCGTGGTTCGGTGCGCGGCTAAGGCCCTTAAGATTGCGCAGGCGTGGGTCGTTTGCACGTCTCTGCGTGCGCTGTCGCCTGTCCGTCGTCGTCTGTCATGTCGGCCCACCGTCGGCTGCTTTCGGGCTGCATGATGGCTTCACCTCCAGGGGCGGACGGGGCGAGTCGTATTTTGCTTTCTGCAGTTCCCGTCCCCACGTGCCTGGATTGCCTGAGGGTTCTCGATTGGATTTGTTGTATAGCTCGTCTGAGCACAAGATTGGCTGCGGCACACTGGTGGAAAGGCTTTCATAGCATTGGCATGTTTCATGATCTTCTGCTACCGATATAATACTGCCCTAAAGCTCCTTTGCTCTTGCTCGGTCTTTCATCCTGGTTGGTGTGAAACTGGCCGAGTCAAACACACGCACAAATAAGAGTGTTCTGGACGTCCTTCGCGGCGGTGATGGTCAGATCCTTGGCATTGTGATTTTGCTGGGGGCCGGTAATTTGATTTTGATGGAGGCTGACAAAAGGAGGCAGGCCTCGATTGCCCCGCAGGGCCAGTTGTATACCTTGGCACCGGAAGGGTATGGATGCAAGCATAAGGCGAACATGGAAATGGCTGGCGGAGAAGCTTCTGCTGCCACTCCTTCCCGCTTACTGTCGGAAGCGGCTTCGGCCTAGATAGTCGACGCGAGCTGCGGAACTTCTGCTTTTGATGCTCTTGAGCGCGAATTGGGCTGCGGTGCCAGGCTAGTCGTGCTAGTGTGCTCTCATTGCAGGCATGATGGCAGTGACGTTGGCTTGCAGCTGGTTCCAAGCAATTTTTCCGCTCGCTCCTTGCCGTCCCGTCCCAATCACTACCACCTATTTAAATGGGCCGGGGCTGTCTCGCACAAGGCAGCGGTCTTCTTGTCCAGACCGTCCAACTCAAGCCAGCCAAGATCCGATGCCGTCCCATACTTTTTCCAGGTGGCTTGCGAATCCGTAGACGGGCAGGGGCTTGTTGATGCCGCGAAGGACGGAGTCGCCGCACATGGCATAGTGCAGGGCATAGTAATGGAATTGCATGCACTCGCGCCCTCCTCGTTCGTAGAGCTCGCTGCCCACTCGGCGCTGGTCCAGAAAAGCTGTTGGGCATCTCTGGCCTGCTGATTGCCACAAGGTACGGAAGGAAGGGTAGTGGAACCAGCCCAGCTTCTTGGGTGTCCAGCCCAGGTGCCTCATGAGTTGGGAGAAAGTCCGGGAATCTTCTTCGGCCGGGCCTTCGTGATCTGCCGCGTTGCGAAGCCAGGCCTTCATGGTGTTTTCTGAAGGACAAGGATGGCGTTGCACGAAAGCGGCGAGTTCTTGTTCTTCCCGAAGGACTTGGGCACGAAGCTCTGCGTCTAGCGGGAGAGGCTGACTCGGCTGCACGAAGATGCTTGGCCGTATCGGTTGCTTCGGGGATGTTGGCGGAGTGGGCATTGAAAAGCTTTCTTCGTCGCTGCTGCTGTCGAGATGGTCCCATCTGGTGTAATCGATTGCCGCCATCCTGCTACACAGCAAAACGCCCTGGTCTCGAAGGGCCTTACCTGCTTGATTCTCAAACCTTGGGCTGCAGCACGCATGGGCAGCTCAATCCCTTGGCCTCTGGACTCAATCCAGAATTTTCACAAGCGCATGGACTAACGAGCACAGCGGCGCAGTACACTCCATTATTGCCCGGCTCGGGAAAAGGTCGCGATGTAGCCGTAGCCGTTCTGTGAAACTGATTTTGGCTGCGGCTCTCACCGCCTGTGGCTGATTCAGGATCACTTCGGGCCCTGCAAGCAAGCTAGACTTCGTGATACAGCTCAGCCGAGTTGCGTGTCATGGGAAAGGACCACGGTGACCAGTTGCCCGTCTAACGCCGTGCACACTGCTTGGTTGCGGCTCCGCAGACGGCCTTGGGCTGCAGCTGCTAGGGCAGCGGATGTAGCAAGCTCTTTCATTTCCGGGTTTGACATGCCGGTGATTCGCAGCAGCTCCCCACCGGCCACCGTGGTGAACACTGCGTCAACAGCATTTTGCGGGACAGGCGTCAAGCTGCAGGTGACGACCAAGGGTGAGGGCACTTCACGGACGTAGACCTCGCCGGCGGGATAATTGATCCAAGCATCATGGTCCAGCTCTTCAGCTTCGAACACAGCAACCTGGGCATCTGCTGGATGCCATCGGACGAATCGGCACTGCAGCCTCTCCACGGGATCGGTGGAAAAGAAGCGCAGATGCCATCGAGGAGCTGCTTCAGTGGTAAAGGCCGCGCCGTCCGAGTCAATCAATGACCACGAGCCAGGACCGCCTTCCAAACACCGGCTCCACTCCAGACGGCGGCCGTCCATCTTGTGGGTGCTCTGAAGGAAAGGAAATGCAAACTTTGAAGCTGCAAGATACTGCTGCGGAACACAGGATGCAATGCTCAAGCAGCATCTGCAAGACTGGAAGCTACATGCTTCGACCTCCACACCTAGAACTACTCGTGAACGATGCTCGGGCCGAGCGTGTTTTCACACCTGCGGTTGTTGCCTTCCTTGTGAAACATCCCCAGCTGTATTTCGGCTGAAATACGGTAGGTCTCTACCTGGAACAAAGAGGGAGCTTGCCAAATGGATTTCCTTCATAAAATGGACGGGAATAAAGATTGCCAGGTGGTTCGCGGGCTCCCAAGCCGGTTTCCTTCATAAACTGGACGGTGCGTACCTTGGCGTCCAGATCAGATGATTGCTAGCACATTGGAAGCCTAGCATGGACAGATGTGGACATGCACGTGTTTAATTGCAGCCGAGTCGCTTGCACCAAAAATCAGTCCTTGGCTTGGACATGTTCAGTGAATGCATGCGTGGGAAGTATGAGAGTGTGAAGGTATTCGAAGGCACCCCCCAGCGTACTTAGTACTGGGATGGCCTTATTTTAGGCGCCTTATAAGAGAATGTCCCGCAGCACACGCTCCCTGCTTCCCCGATGTTTCTGGTCGGATTGAAACATCCTTCGCCCATATGTGTTCACCGATGGGAGATAGATCGGATCCCCGGTAGTAACGCGCACCCGCGAGCGAGTACACGCGTTCCCGTTGACAGGCTCAATGGGAAGCCCCCTTGGCCCTTGGCACTGAGGAAAACAAACCGATCCTCGCGCAAAGCGCGTCCGTGGCACACATCCCAAAAGTATGACCGCGTCCTACTTTTGGAATGCTCAAGGAAGGCACCTCGGCTCTTTTTAGGTATTTGGAGGCCGCTTCGCTAGTGAACTGGCGCGTACAGCAGTCGCTGTAGTTCAACGCCATTACTAGCTTCCAAAAGACAGTTAGCATGCTCCCTTGGGGGGCGAGCGGAGGGTCCAAAAGCGCATTGTGTGTACGCGCGCGGGTCGGGGAAATCCTGGTCCCCGGGCGGTCGTAGATTGACGGTGGGTGTCAATTTTGCCCGGCTTCAAGACTGCTTAAAGCCCTTTGAAATAACTTCGGAAGCCACTTAGAACGTTTTAAAACAACTCTGAGCCTTTAAAAACCTCTCAAAACCTGCAAAAACTTGCAACCAGGCCACCCACAACGCCAAAGTGACAATCTCCAGGCCCCAAAGTGACAATCTCCAGGCCCCCAAAGTGACAATCGCCAGGCCCCAGGTGACAATCTCCAGGCCCCAAAGTGACAATCGCCAGGCCCCGAGTGACAATCTCCAGGCCCCAAAGTGACAATCGCCAGGCCCCAGGTGACAATCTCCAGGCCCCAAAGTGACAAGCGCCAGGCCCCGAGTGACAATCTCCAGGCCCCAAAGGGGTGGCAATCTTAGGGGGTCTAGATTGTCAGAAGGCGGCAATCGTAGGGGGGTACAGATTGCCAACAGGTGGCAATCACAGGGGATCTAGATTGTCAGCAGGTGGCAATCTTAGGGGGTTACAGATTGCCAACAGGTGGCAATCTTAAGGGGGTACAGATTGCCAAGAAGTGGCAATCACAGGGGATCTAGATTGTCAGCAGGTGGCAATCTTAGGGGGGTACAGATTGCCAACAGGTGGCAATCTTAAGGGGGTACAGATTGCCAATAGGTGGCAATGGTGGTGGGGGTTGGTGGAAAGGGGGCGGATGGCTGTCACACTCCCTTGCTGGCCGGTTGCCCCTTTGGATTGTCAGCAGGTGGCAATCTTCAGGGGGTATAGATTGCCAATAGGTGGCAATCGTGGTGGGGGTTGGTGGAAAGGGGGCGGATGGCTGTCACACTCCCTTGCTGGCCGGTTGCCCCTTTGGATTGTCAGCAGGTGGCAATCTTCAGGGCTTCAGATTGTCAGCTGGTGGCAATCTGGGTGGAGCTTGGTGGAAAGGGGGCGGATGGCTGTCACACTCCCTTGCTGGCCGTTTGCCCCTTTGGATTGTAAGTAGCTCTGGACCCTCCCGGCGGATGGCTGTCACACTCCCTTGCCAGATTGACAGCAGGTGTCAATCGTGAGAGGTCCGGTGGGGGAAGGGGCCGGTTGTTGGCTTCTTGTTTCAAGGATGTTGAGCACGACAACCAGGACTAACAAAATGGGTTTTTTTTCTGCACTGGTTCTTGGCTTCTTGTTTTAAGGATGTTGAGCACGACAACTAGGACTAACAAAATGGGGCTTTTTTTCTGCACTGGTTATTGGCTTCTTGTTTTAAGAATGTTGAGCACGACAACTAGGACTAACACAATGGGGCTTTTTTTCTGCACTGGTTCTTGACTTCTTGTTTCAAGGATGTTGAGCACAACAACAAGGGTTAACAAAATGGTGTGTTTTTGTTCTGCACTGTTTGCTGGCATCTTGGTGCTTCCCAACGGTGTGGCAAATACAATTTCTGGTTCTTGTTGGCTCTTTCTGGCCCACTCTTGGCCGTAACAAATCGTACTGCCGGGTCTTGGTGGCTCTTTCTGGCCCACTCTTGGCCGTAACAAATCGTACTGCCGGGTCTTGGTGGCTCTTTCTGGCCCACTCTTGGCCGCATCACATCGTACTGCCGGATCTTGGTGGCTCATTCTGGCCCACTCTTGGCCGTAACAAATCGTACTGCCGGGTCTTGGTGGCTCTTTCTGGCCCACTTTTGGCCGCATCAAATCGTACTGCCGGTTCTTGGTGGCTCA